GGGGGACGGGGTGTTGGGCATTACCTGCAAACGCCGCCTTCCAGAAGGGTCCCGGTGGATTCTGCTCACCCTGGCAACACATCTGGCTGTTCCAGCCGCCGGCCAGGGCCCAGGGCTGGTAACCGTCCACCGGCAGCAGGGAGTCGTGGCGCGGCTCTCCCGGGGCGCCCAAGGTCTGCACCACGGACACGTCGAGGTAACTGGCCATGGGCTGGTAGGGTCCCGGGTACCCGGGGTAGAAGGCAAACTCGGTGGGGCGGCTGGGATACTCCTCCCCGGCCACGGGCGTCTCCGAGGGGTAGGCAGCCAGGGTGGGCGCCTGGGCACAGGGCTTCAGCGAGCTCCGGGACACCCGGCAGGAGTAGTACCCGCCTCCAAAGTAGCCGTAAGGCACGGGAGCTGGGGACGCCCCCTGGGGCACCCCAGGACAGGGGTGGCACTGCTTGGGTGGCTCCGGAGAGCCCGGCAGGTCCAGAGGCGCATAGTTGACAGCGGGCATCAGCGTAGGCGCCGCCGGGTGGCTGGAGAGCGGGGAGTGGGCCACGAGATTGCGCCCCCCGCCCGCGCCCAGCAAGCCTTCCATATCCTTGGCCCCGTCCAAGGTGGCATAACTGCCTGGCTCCATGGGGCCCAGGGTCGGCTCATGGGGCGCAGGGGGTGGGGGATGGAGGGGGCGCCCAGCTCGCTCACCCCACCCAGGCCCGGGGAATCCAAAGCGTTTTAAATCGCTCCCAGCTCGAAAGGCGCCTGCATTCGCCCGGCCGGGCCGCCCGACGCAGGACACGCAGGGCCGGGCCATGCGCGCTGATTGGCTGCGGCGGGGACAGCAGCTCGTAAAACCTCGGCGGTGAGCGCAGAGGGAGCGGGACAGGGAGCCAGCCCCACCTCCGTCGCCTCCTCTCTCTCTCCCTGGCTCTGTCTCCTGCGCGTTGGCAGGTTTAACGAGAGAATAAAAAGCTCTCCCAATAAAGTGTGTCCATCTCCTACGGCGGGGGGGGGGGCGCGCTGCCGGCCTCCAAGGAGAACCCGGGAATGCGCCCGAGGAAGAAGCAGCTGGCGAATGGGGGTGCGGGCACTTCGGGAGCCTTCGGCTTGGGGCCTAGGGAGTAGCGGCGCCCAGCTCCTTCCAGATGCCCCTCCTGCCCCCGTGCGCCGTTATGAGCGGCTCTGGCGCCAGGGTGCCTGGGACACCCCTTCCCCAGGGAGCTGGGCCACTGCCCTGAAGGATCCGAGGCCCAGATCTGGGGTGAGGTGGAGCGAGGGGGGCGGGGAACACCCCCCCGGGGGGGGGGACGTGCGATCCGGAGCCAAACACGCCACGTCCGGGCCCGAAGGGGAAATGGAGCCTCTGCGTGTTGCCTGGGAAAGGGGGGGTCTGGGTTTCCGCTGAAGGGTGGAGAAAGAGAGACACCCGCTCGCAGGAGACAAGAAGGAGGAAGGGATGGAGGCAGGAAGGGAGAGGGAGCAGCACCAGGGGAGGGAGAGAGAGTTTGAAGGGGGACAGAGAATGGGGGGAGGCAGAATCTTATAAAATCCCGAGTGCCGGTTGGGAAAGAGAATCCCTTTCCCCCTGCACAGCGGTCTGGGGAGGTCTGGGGGAGCCCAGCCTGGCTAACTGACCATGAGGCTGCGAGGTTCCGGGGCCCAAGCCTGCAGGGCCCTGACCCGCGGAGGTGCCCACCCCAGCCTCTCCGCTCTTCTGTGGGCCAGGAAGCCCAGGACACCGTCTCAGGTGCCGCACACAGGCACAGAGCTGGGGGCCCAGAAAACCCAGGGCCCCAGACCACCTCCTCCAGGCTCCAAGTCTCCTTAGAGGAAGAGGGGACGGGGGGAGCCCCAACCCTTCAGAACAGCCAGAGGCCTCTTGGTTGGGGCCTATTGTGCAGAAAAATTCAGAAGATTCAAACAGTTTGTTTCACGAATCCGTCTTTGGAGATGTTCTGCTTCCGTGACCATTCCTCCCAAAGCAAGACTTTTTGTGGGATTTTTCTAGAACTCTCAGTTTTTCTGGAGAATCCAGGCCCTCTTCCATTCTGGGGAACAGACCACCCTGAGCTGTGGGTGGGCTCCGTCATGCCCCCTCACCAACCTGAACCTGAGCCGCCTCGTGGGAAAGAGCCCATACAAGCCACAATTGCCCCAAGTTGTAGGGCTGTAGTGTAGATCACTCTCAGAGAACATTGCTAACAATTCAAGACAACAAGCACAGAATTCTTGTTAGATTTTATTGCCTTGGAAAACAGCATGAAAGAAGGTCCATGTAGTGGCCCATGCTTGTAATCCCAGGCACTTTAGGATACTGAGTCAGGAGAATCAACAAGTCCAACCCCAGCCTGGGTAACTCAGTAAGACTCTGTCTCAAAATAAGATAGAAAGTGTTGGGCCTTTAGCTCAGTGGTAGAGCACTTGCCTAGCACATATGAAGCACTTGGGTTCCTTCCCAGCATGAAAAGGAAGGAAGGAAAGGAGGGAAGGAGGGAGGGAACTTTTACTGTTTTTTATTTGGTAAATGATGGATACATAGGACATTTCCACAGTTTTAGCTTCCAGTAAGCAAACATATACGTGTGTGTGTGTGTGTGTGTGCATGCACACACTTTGGGGTAAAACTTCTGTGTGCAAATTTAGTCACAGCTGTACAGTACAGGCATGGAGCGATCCCTAAATTTTAAAAAAATCCTAGTAATACTCTAAAAAACAGCAGTTCTGGGCTTAAACCCAACAGACATGAAAACTTATTTCCACCAGAAGGCAAGTCCTAGCGCCTGTATTGGCAGCACAAATACTAAAGTTGGACCAATGCAGAAATAAGCATGCTCCCTGCTCAAGGATGACATGCAAATTCATGGACCTTTCCATAGTAAAGGGGGGGATTCAGTCCCCAGTACCAGGAAAAAAAGAAAGAAGAGGAGGAGGAAAAGGAGAAGGCAGTAGTAGCAAGTGCTAGAAGATCCTATAAGGTTCCTGACAGCATTGTCCATAACATCTTAAATAGAAAAGAAATGTCAGCAGTAGGACAGGCAAAGAAATGAAGCTGTTAGGGTTGAGGGTGTAGCTCAGAGGGGAGCACTTGCCTAACATGCAAGAGGCCCTGCGTTTGACTCTCAGTTTGGGAAGAAAAGAAAACATAGACTGTACAGTATGAAGTACTACTCTCGGGAATGTAAAGAGAGCAAACCACTGCTGTACACAACACAGATTAACAGCACACAGATACATGAGTGAAAGAGGCCAGGCCCCAAAGAGTAACTTTTCTCTTTTCTTTTTTTTTTTTAGGTACCAGGCATCAAACTTGGGTCCTTGCACTTGCACAGCAGCCGGCGAAACCACTGAGCTAGATCCCCAGGCCCTCTTTTCTTTTTTTCAATACCAAGAATCAAACTCCTGACCTTGCACTTGTGAGGCAGGCAGTGGAACCACTGAGCTAAATCCCTTGCCTTCCCAAAGAGTAAATTTTGTGATTCCATTTGGTGAAATTCAAGAGCCAGCAAAATTAGTGTACAGTGTTGGCACCAGATGTGGTATACTACCACTTGACTTCAAGTCTAGCCTGGGCTACTGAGCCCCATCTCAAAAATACAAAAACAAAAAAAAAGAAAGAAAGGGAAGAAAAAGTAGAAATTACCCTGGGGAGGGCTGGGCATACTGGCACACACCTGTAATCCCAGCTACTCAGGAAGCTGAGGCAAGAGGATCAAAATTTTGAGCTCCACCTGGGCAATGTAAAGAGTCTCTCTCTCTCTCTCTCTCTCTCTCTCTCTCTCTCTCTCTCTCTCTCTCTCTCTCAAAAAAAATAATAATAATAGTAGAAAGGGCTGGAGATGTAGCTCAGTGGTAGAGCTCCCATGAGTTCCATCCTAAGAACAGAGAAAAAGAAAAGGACGAAAGAAGGAAAGAAATGTTCTTGATGTCACTCTGTGTGCTAGTTATGGGGCTGTGTTCAGTTTGTGGAAATTCCTTGGGATTTTTGCACCTTTCTGTATGAGAGAGTAATATCTCTATTTTAAAGGCAAAATAATTAAAAACTAAATTTTACAAGTTCAGAGCATCAGGGCCAGGGTGTAGCTCAGTAGTACTTTCCAAGCCTGCATGAGGCCCTGGGTTCCATCCCCAGAAGCACAAAATATAGTTCTTTAAAACTTTAGAGCAGCATTGCCTGCAACTAATTTTTTTTTTTAAAAGATACAGTGCTTGAACCCACATCCGTGGAAATAAGCAGCTAAGTTTGCATCACTCTGCACAGTTGCTGAATACAGCTTCAACTTCACCCCCAGAATCTCCCCAGCTGGGCTGGAGGATCCCCTCCCAGATTCCATTTCAATGCAAACACTGAGTTTTGTTTTGTTTCGCTGCCTCTGCAATTTATTCAGCACCTACTAGATGCCAGGGAGCAGGCCCGGATCTTCTATTTACTAGCACACAAGTCTGTGTTCTGACTTCCTGAGTGTCTGTATCCTAGGTCTCAAGTAAGGTAGGATTAAGTCTCCTCATCTGTGAAACGCTGGTGACAATTCCCACCTCACAGAAAGGGTGTGACCGCGTCTGGATTGTCCGCCCACGAAAGCATTTCATAAATCCAGTAAATATCACGTCTATGTGTCCTCCTGTGTGTGACTTTCTAAAGAAGCCATCTGCTTTTACTTGGAAAGGGACAGTTGTCCCAGAGTGCTGGTCACTTTTCCCTTGCGGATGAGAAAGCCTGAGTAGGGAAACTGAGGCTCGGAGCGTGGAGGTGGAGCTGTGTGTGGAGTTGAGCCCCGGACCCCAGCCGGCTGAGCCCGCCCCTCCCCCGGCCCGAGGAGTCCTTTGTGTCCCGCTGGGCGCCTCCCCGCGGAGCCTCCCGGAGGAGCCCGGGCCCCTCCGGCTCCTTTACATACCCGCCAGACGCTTCCAGGAAGGTCAAGGCCAAGTTGAAAGTTAAGAGTCTGTTTACCTCCGGGAGCCCATTCAGCGCGGCCCGCACACCGCCGGTGACCTTTACAGCCCGGCCTTTGAGCGGGGCCGCCGCGGCCCCAGAGGTTCCGGCCACGGGGACCTGGTACCTCCGTGTCACCCCCGCCCCGCCCGGGCTCGGGCCGCCAGCGAGCGAGCGGGAGGGGGAGTCGCCACCCGGCCCACTGGGGGGCGTTTGCTAAATTATGGTTTTTGTTTTGTTTTGCTTTGCTTTTGCAAAGTGAGCGCCTGCTGCCTTCGGCCCCTCCCCCAACCGAACGCAGGGTCGGTAGGGACCCCGCAGCCCCGCAGGCCGGCGGTGGCGAGAATGAGGGTTTATTCTTTGCAGCGGGGTCGCTTCCTCTTTCCCAAAGGTCGCGGTGCCGCTGTCCCCGCCGAGCTCCAGGGCTAGCGCGGCTTCTCCCGGCTTCCAGGAAACCCGCCGATTGCGGTGCGCGCTCCCCTTCCCGCTGCCTCCGTCCTCACGGCGCGTCTGCATTTCTCTCTCTCTCCGTTTAATCTGCTGGCATCTCTCTTTATGGTTTATATTTGTGTTTTTCTTGCCTATCCTGTTTTTGTCTGTTCCTCCTGGATTCCTTTCTTCACTTACTTTCTACTTTTTTCCTCCTGCTAAAAAGTTGTCCTAATCCAAAAATTTCCTTTGTTTTCTTTCTCATCTACCACATTATTTTTGGCTTGGTTTTCTTCTCATTTTCCTTGCATTTGTTCCCCCCTTTCTTTCTCATCTCTGTTTCCCTCTAGCTCGATCTCTCCTGTTTCTTTCCCGCTTACTTCTGTTTTGCTCTACTCCCTCACCCCCAACACACGCTTCTTTCCTTTTCCACCCTCGCCCACAATTTCCCATTGTTCTTCTCCAAGTCTGGAAGGGGCCTGGCCGGGCGACAGCGCCTGGCCGGGCGACAGCCCCTGGCCGCCTGTGGCCTGTGCTTGGCCCAGGGGCCTGAATGGAGTGCGGCCTCGGAGTGGAAGCTAGGACGCCGCAGCCCACCTGGGGACTAGGGTGACACAGGCCTCTCTTCCTTAACAAGAATCAGGTGGGGTCAGTCCACACCGGACAGGAAGATCCTTTGGGTGATTTGATCGCCAGGGCTGGAGAGCCACGAAAGTGGGAGGATGGAGACCCTGTGACATCTTCAGGATCGGGACCCTCTCAGGACAAACGTAAGTCCCCAGAGCTCTAATGGCGACCGAAAAGCAAGCCCTGGGGAACTGGGAGTGGGATTCGAAGCGGAAGGAAGGAAGGAAGGGAGCAAGGGCCTGAAACGGGGAGCTCGCCCCAGAGCCCCAGCCCCGTCTCCAGCCCTGGGCTTTTCTGGGTCCAGGTCTGGTCTCAGCACCCACCACCCCCGCACCCAATCCAGAGAACCCCCGATGGTCCTCGCTAAAGAGCACGTCTCAGGGAGGGTCTCCTGCTGGCCCAGCCTGTGTGCTGGGGAAAGTGGTCTCCCCTCCCCTGCCAGCTTTCCTGGCCAAACCGTGCAGAAGGCAAAGGCGGAACAGCCCAGAGGAGGGCAAGGACTCCCACCCAGATTTAGGGCAGGGTGATCTGACAGGGCCTTCAGGGAGCCCAGCCCCACCACCAGCCTCTGTGAGCACCCATCTAGAGCCGACTCAGAGGGGATCCTGAACCCCAGGGTGTAAACCCCTCCATAGTCCATTAAATGGCACCAAATTGGCATGGGAAACTGGGCATGGTGCTGCAGACGCCTGTAATCCCAGAATTCTGGGAGGCTGAGGCAGGAGGACCAGTCTGGGCAGATGAGCGAGAGCTTGTCTCAAAAGAAATATATTTTTTTAAAGGCTGGAGATGTAGCTCAGTGCAAAGGCTCTGGGTTCAATCTCCAAATACCCAAAAGGGGGGGTGTGTGAGAAATTACCTCCTCCACCCTCACCCTGATTCCCCGAGAAGCCCTCCACCCATCATCTCAAGAGTACCGCAGGACGATCCTTGAGTCAGGGCTGAAAATCGTTTTCAGGCTTGCAGCAGCTTGTGAGCCTGGAGGACTGGGCTTCCTTTGTCTCAACCCCTGGGGCCCCAGGTGGGTCTCGGGAATGAAGAATATCTGAAAAGCGCTGGGGATTTAGCTCAGTGGCACTGTGCCTGCCTTGCAAGCCTAAGGTCCTGAGTTCGATCCCTGGTACAAAAGAAAGAAAGAGAGAGAGAGAGAGAGAGAGAGAGAGAGAGAGAGAGAGAGAGAGAGAGAGAGAGAGAGAAAGAATCTGAAAAGCCCTACCTGCAGATTCTAGAAAGCAATTTCAATTTCTTAAAACTCCCCCTCAATCTGCTCCTCCTTTTTCCTTGTTGGTGATAATTAGGAAAATGCTGGCTACGCTCAGGGCTGCTAGAAATAAAGACTGAGTCTTCACTCCTGAAATCAAGAAAAATGTCCACAACAACACCCTGGCCCCTCAAGCCCCAAAGCCACCCTTGTGGCTTGAAGTGCAGCTTGGATTTCAGGTGTGGGGCAAAGTACGATGGGAAAGATTTCATTTCTTGCTCTGATTTGTATGCGGTTGTTTTGTTTTCACTACTGGGGATTGAACCAGGGCCCTCATACTGAATCACATCCCTACCCCCCTTTTTGTTATTTTGATTTTGAGACAGGGTCTCACTGAGGCTCTCAGTGCCCAAGCTGGATTCCCACTTGAGGTCCTCCTGCCTCAGCCTCCCATCTTCCACATTTTCCCTGCTGGGAGTCTTGTGACCTCTTCAAATATACCGAACTTGATTATCGGGTCCACCTCCCTCTTCTCTGTCCCCAACCCTTAGCAAAATCTTGTTGCTCCTCTTCCCACTAAGTTATTCATTCCAGGAAACAAAGTCGGGACAGGAATAAGGCAGGCACCACACACACGCACACACACACATGTGCACACACAGAGGAAGAAAGAAAAATCCAGTCCATCCCTACCCAACCCGGTCCTGTGTCCTGTTCTTGGTGCTCCTGAGTCCCACAAAGGACCAACCCCTTGGGACTCAATAAAGGTTTAAAAATATCCTCCTGGCTCCCAGAGCCTGTACACAAAATGCCCCCCGCCCCTCTCTGCATCTCAGCAACAGTGTGAGGTGAGTGGGTGCTTCCTGGTCACGGCCCTATGGACTCTGAGCTGGGGAGCGTCTGTCTCCCCATCCTCAAGATCCTGGCCCAGCACTGACCCCCCCACAGGCCCCCTGGAGCCTGGCCAAGCCTGGCCGGTTGTAGCCAGTCTACACTGACCCCACTGGCCCAGGCCTGATACAGGGGCCCCTTCATCATTTGGGTTCAAACCCAGCTCCGGATGTGCCTTGGTTCTGTCCTTTGGGTTTAAACTTGTTCTACTTCTCCTCTACCTTCTAGCGATAGATTTAGGAGTTCTCCCAAATGAAATGTTCTGACTTTAGATTGTAAAATAACTCACACACAAAATGTTTTCCCCTTGATCCTTTGATCTTGGTTTTGTCCCTGAGCAGAAGGGATGGTTGCCATCGTGGGCTTCTGACACCAGAAATCTTCCCTGGGAAACCTGAAGACCTTTGAGGTCCGGAGCTCCGAAGTAGAAGGCTCCAATCTTGGGGTGACTGGGTAGAACTGAGGACCTAGATGCTCAGGAAGGCAGAAAAGCTTTCTTCTAGGAAATCATTAATTAGGGCAGTGTCTGATTAGGGAATATGTGCAGGCCCTCTTCCCCCTTTTACTCATGCAAAAGAGGAAACTTCAGATTCCTAGGTTACCCAGAGTAGTCAGCGTTTGGGGTTGGGAGAATCCACTGCGATTCTTCAGGTCTCTCCAACTCTGTGCTTGTACGACTGGGCATGAGACGCCGGAGAAGGGGAAGCCGCCTTGTCCAGGCCAGAGAACACTGACCTCAGGCCACTGGCCGGGCCTGTGCTTCCGGCAGCTCCAGCGGGAGAGGGATGAAGAACACCAGGGACAGGCAGCTCCCCTGGGCTCCCAAGTGGTCCTGGCTGCCTTCTCCGTGTCCGCCCCAGGGAAGCCCAAAAAGTCAGGCCACACCCACACCGGAGGTGAGTGTAGCCGCTCAGGAGTTCGGCAGGGGTTTCTTCTGGTCCAGCTCCCTGTCCACCATGTTGGTCACAAGGGTCCCAGCTCCCAGGCTGAGAAGGTCCCCAGAAACCTGGCGCTGGGGGTCTGGGGGAGAACCATGGGAAGCAGAACCCCATCTCTCCATCCCGGCCCTCGTAAGCCCTGGCACAGGCGGAGCCCCGGACTCCAGCCGCCTGTGTGTATAGGGCAAGGGGCGCAGCTGGGGACTGGGGCCCCCACCCCAGCCTCCCGGCAGGTTCGGCCTGCTTTGTCCCCTATCCGCTTGGGTTTCCAGCCTGGGAATTCCCTGCCTCAGGGGTGCAGGCCCGGGAAGTCACAGAGGGGCCTGAGGCCACCCCATGGTTCCAGATCCACGCGTGTCAGGCAGCCCGCTTGCAGGTAGAAGAATCCACAGGAAGCGAGGGGAGTGCGGCCCCTTTTGAGAAGAGACTTTCTATCCTTTCTGTCGTCGTTCCGTACTGGAAACCCCTGGGCCGGCAGAGTCCTCCGCGGGGTCCTGGTCGCTGCACCCCGCAGGGTTCAACTGTGGCTCACGGCGGGCTGCGGGCTAAGCCTCTGACCGCTGGGAACAAGGGAGCCTCTCCCGGCGCCTCCCCTCCGGGCCTTAGGGGCATCTGGGCCCGGGGTCCCTGCCCTGAGCGGAAGTCACTGCAGCAAACCCGCTTGCTGCGTCCTCAGTCTGTCCCTCGGAGCCGACGCCTGCACCTCAGCCTGCACCCCCACAGCCCGCCCCTTCGCCTTTCGGGCTCCTCGCGAAGATCCTTCAGAATCCTGGACGCCGTCCGGTGCCCACGTGGGGGCACCCTGAAAAGCTGTAAGTAGCTTTCATTGAATCCGAATCCGCGCAGCTTAGAAGTGGGTAGAGTGAAGGAGGGGGCCAGGGTTGCTCCCGTTTTGTAGATGAGAAAACTAAGACCAGACCGGGAGGTGGATGGCTCGCATTTCTAGAGGCAAATACAGGATAAAGCCTGAGCTCTAACCCAAGTATTTCTGGCTCCCCATCCCAACTGGCGACTGCATTTCTCTTGTCCGAGTTCCTTTTTCTTTCTCTTTTGTTCCTCCTGCCTCGGCCTCCTCAGTAGTATCTGGGATTACAGGCGCAGCTGTATCCAGCTTCTTCCCTGCTCAAACACAAAGCGCTTGACAGTTTTTATAATGGAAAGAAATCTCAAACTAGTATCTCAAACTGATAATAAAATAGACTCCAGATATCTGGGAAAGTTGTTTAGAGCAAAAAAAAAAAAATCAAAACCTTGACTCCAAAATAACATACAGTAACTTTGGGGCTCCCGACCGTTGGGAGGCCGAGTCCCTGTGAGCCAGAACTCCAGGGAGATTTTCACTTCGAGTGACCCCTGGGAGACCCAGACTCCTCTACTGGCCCCATTGCTGCACTTGCAGTGCCACAGAGAAGAAAAGCCTGGTGACAAGAAAACTTGGTACCAAGACATCTTCCAGCACTCAGGAAGCTGAGACAGGAGAATTGCCAGGAGTTCAAGGCCAGCCTGGGCTACATAGAGAGACCCTGTCTTAAAAAAGCAAAACGAAAACAAAGCCACCTTCCAACTGTGTCCTCCCTGTGGAGAAAAACAGATGTTTGGTGAAAAGTGGCTGAGGATTCTGATTTTGAGGGTGGCTTGCCCCTTGGAATTGAGGGGAGACACCTGTGATTTTCTGGGACATGGTCCCATGGCTTTATTAATGGCAAATTTCAATTATATATATATATTTTTTGGTACCTGAGATCGAACTCTGGTCTTTCTGCTTGCGAGGCAGGTGGCGAACCACTGAGCTAAATCCCTGGCCTTATTAATGGCAAATTTCACGCATTTAAAAAAGTGCTTAAAAGAGGGGCCAGGGATTTAGCTCAGTGGTTTCACCGCCTGCTGCACAAGCTCAAGGACCCGAGTTCATCCCGGTCCAAAAAAAAAAAGTACTTAAAAGAGTAAGGTGATCGCTCGCACCCAGCCTCCAGCTTCAGTAGGAACCAACGCATAGCAGACTCCTTGAAATTTTCTGCAGTATTTAAAAGCAAATCCCATTGTTTCACCCAAAATATATCAGTCTGAATTTTTGACAAATTCTTTCTTCTCTCCCTCTCTTTCTTTGTTTTTAGGAGGTCTCCATCTGATTATCACACCAAACAAAATGAACAATACTCCCTGAATAATATCCAGGTTAGAATTTCCTCTGTTGTCTCAAAAAATGTCTTATCCAGACCCTGTCTCAAAATAAATAAATAGTACTGCGTGGTGGGTGGTACAATCAGTGTTTTTCAAATCAGAATCTAAACAAAGCCCACACATTGCATTTGATAGATCTTTAATTTTCTTATAACCTATAACAGCTTCATCTTCCATTAATAACACTTATTTAGTTTAAAACCTGGGTCAAGCCGGGCATGGTGGCACATGGCTGTCATCCCAGCATTCAGAAGGCTGAGGCAGGAGGATCACTGTTAAGCTCCAAGCCACCTTGGGCTACATAGTGAGACCCCATCTCAAATAAACAGACAAACCAGCCAACCTGGGTCAGCTCAATTCTCCAAGGTCATTTGGTCACCCTCAAAAAAGATCACTGATCTACGTTGGAAAAGTGATTTATTTATTTACTCATTTGTTTATTTTTGTAGTACTGGGGATCAAACCCAGGGATCCTGTACCACTGACCTACATTCCGAGTCCCACCCCCTTTTTTCTTTTGATTTCTTGAGACGGGGGTCTTACTATGTAGTGCAGGCTGGCCTTGAACTCACTATGTAGCCCAGGCTGGCCTCAAACTCTCAGCAATCCTCCTGCCTCAGCCTCCCGAGTGCTAGGCTCACAGGGCTGTACTGCCACGCTGGACTATTTATGTATTTTGAGACAGGGCCTATATATAAGTTGCTCATGCTGGCGTTGAACTTGCAGCCCTCCTGCCTCAGCCTCCAGAATAGCTGACCTTACTGGTGCAGCTACAACTTTGGCTTTGTTTGGTTTTGTTTGTGTGTGTTTTTGCAGTGCTAGGGATCAAACCCAACCAAGCATTCTACCAACTGGGCTACATCCCCCCATCCCCAAATGATTTGTTCTTACAGTTTCCACCCTGCTAGTTCTCTGACTGGCAGCCTAGGAGTTTCCAGTTTCCTCCTCTCCCTCCCAGAGAAAGCGGACCCCCGAAACATGCAGCGTCTGCCCACCCCACTAGGCCTCTTGGCTCCCTTCTTGGCTCCCTTTTGTTCCCACTGCTGTCAGCTCCCAGGCAGCCCTGGGTCCTGGGGTTGTGATAACACCATCCAACTCTGCCACTACGGGGCCAGCTGTGGTTCCCTTGCCTCTGACCGTCTTCTCATCTGCAGGATGCCAGGGATCCTCTCCATCCCTCCTTCCTTGAAGGGCCATTGGGTTGGCTGTGTGGAGACAGGGAAGACTGCAGAGAGCACCAGGCCTCTGTAACCAAGAGACTCTCTCATAGCCGCCAGTCCCCAGGGACAGGTGAGGATTTCTTCTGCCGGAGTAAGAAGAGCCAGCGGACAGGCCACTTATTCATTACCTCCTGTTGCTGGAGAAGCCTAGGGGGACCCCAGGCTTTGAAGACCAAGCCTGCGAAGTTGAAGTCAGGACCTCCAGGCTGGGAAGAGCGGGGGATACCCTGGCCTGAGGCCCTTCTGGAGGAACCCCCCCCCATCGTGAGCTTTGGGGGGAGTCTGTTCAGCCCCACCCTTCCTCCCCCACTCCCCACAGCCCTGCCCCGCCTTCTTTCTTTGGGAGCCCCAACCTCTCCAAAAACCCCAACTCCTTCTCTCCAAGAGCAACTCCAAGCAGCTCTGGCTGGCTGGTTGTGGAAGCAGCTTTGACTGATCTCCCCACGCTCAGCCCTCCAGCCTTGCGCCCTAGGACCCGGGGAGAAGCAGCGGGAGCATCTCCAAGAAGCCCTCACATACTTCATCTCCAAACTACACCTAGCTCATAAAAGCCAGCGCATGCAATAAATCCTCTCCTGCAGGACAAGGTTTTAATTAATTATTGGGTTATTCAAGGTGACTCATGTGTGAAATGCAATTTATCCTCGTAAACTGCATCTCACATCGTCCAATCTGAGGAGCGGCTGTTTGTTGTCCTCTCTGGAGGCCGCCACAAAACTCGAATTTATGCTCTGAGGGTCTGGGGGTGACATGTACGTGCGGTTTTATCCTGAAAAAAGCTTACTCAGAAGCCCAGGGTACTAAAAGACTGAGTCTTTTTATCTCAACTCTCGATATCATAAAATTCCTTTCTTAGAAAATATAGTTTTGTTATATAATATATACAAAATCAGATTGTATATCTAAGTGTGGAGGTGCACACCTATAATCCCAGCACTTGGGAGGCGGAGGCAGGAGGATCCCTGTGAGTTCGAGGCCAGCCTGGGCTACATATTGAGTTCAAAGCTAGTTTGAATTACATAGCAAGACCCTGTCTCCCCCCTCCAAGAAATCAGATTTTCTATACTTTATGTATATGCATACATATATACACATACATTATATATAGATACATTTATATATTTGAGTCACTTGTTTTGCAATATGTACAAAGGACACATGAAGCCATCTCATTCAGAATACAAATTTATACTGAGGTTTGCTTCAGCTGATCTGAATTTTGGATCCACGTTTGCCTTGCATGGTTAGGAGGGCTCTACAGTGCACCATGCAGTTCCTTTGTCTGGGATTTATTATCTTTCTGCCTAACTTCCAAGCCCCCTAACTCCAGGGCCCCAAGTGGCCCCAGTGCAGCCTGAGTGGGTGAGGGGCCCTGTTGACCCTCAGCATAGCAGCCCACGAAGGGCCACGGCATGGGCGAGTCCACTCCACTGGGAAACCTTTGGGGACGGTCCACTTGGAGGGGCTGATGCTGTCCATTTCAACAGGACCCGGTGACACCGGGCTTCGGGCCACTCTGGGAGGTTCCATGTGGTGACCCTGCTGGGGGAGCTGTTGGGTGGGAGGGCAGAAGCGAGAGGTCCAGCCCCCACCCAGAATTTAACCAAAGGAGTGGGATTGTGCCCTGGGCCTGACCCCCGGAGAAGAGGGTCTCCAGGAAGGAAGTGGAAGTCTAATTGAATTGAAGCAAAGACTTGAACCAAAGACGTCTCCTCTAGCCCCGCACCTTGAGCGAGTTCTGAGCTCAGCAAGGCCTCCTTCAGCTTTTCTCTTCCTGGTTTTCTTTTCCCTTGTCCCTCCTTTGATGTCCTTCCTTGACTTGGAAGCCAGGTTAGATATTTAATATAAAAAAGAGGCTGCATCCCAAACACCTATCGGTTCCTCCAGAGCCCAGAACTCTGCACAGCTGGTGCCCAAAGTTCCCCAGCGCCTTCAAAGTGGTGCTAAAATCAGTGTCTGGCTGGAGTTGCAGTCTGAAAACTTTTTTCCCCCTACTCATGGCCAGGCTGAGAAGATGCCAAACTGAAAATAAAATCCTCTTTCTCTCCCCAGCCCACTTGAGTTTCCAGCTTCAGGAAGAAATAAATTCGATGAAGTTTCAAAGTGTGTGGGAATTTAATAAATGCACGCGGTGGGTTGTGGGGTCTCTTTGCCCACACAGACTAATTTTTCTGCTCCAAAAGACACCGCAGACAGCATCCTCCAGCCCAAGGAAGGACGGACAGAGGGCCAGGCGGCTATGGGGCGTCTGCCCATCCTCATATGCAGACGACCTGGCCCAGCCTTCGAATGAGCCACTTAAACCGGTGATGGAATTCTTTCCCCAGACCCGGGGTACCGGTACCGGACCCAGAGAAACCCTTGCAGAAGCGGGTCTTGTCCGTGGCAGAGAGAGGGACAGAAAGCCGAAATCGCAGTTAAAGAGATCAGGGAATCTCAGGGCAGAGGGGAAGTCGAGGCCGCCCAGGAACTCACTTCGAGGCAGACAGATCGCCCAGCGTGGCACCGCTACGTCGGTCTGCCGAGATGCCCAAATAACCTCCAGCCCGGCCAATTTCCAGAGCAGTCAGCCAGAGCTGTTTGGCTCTTCTACCGTGGAAGAACAGCGATTGGCCTGACTTTTCACTTTGCCTGAGTGGTTCGCCCCCTTCGGAGCGGGTTAGGGTCGCTCCCTCACCCCCGGGGTTAGATAGACCCCCACCCACCACCTCTTCTCTGCAGCCCCCCGTCCCAGACCTGTTAGCCGGGCCCCTCCTGCTCTCTCCTCTACCGCTTCGAGGCTGCAGGGAAAGTGCTTTGGTTTGTTGTGTATAAACAAGCAAACCCGGGGTAACCCTGAAGGTTATCAATTCTGATCTTACCTCCTTCAGGTTAAGCCCAGAAGTAGGGCCAAAGACCCACGCTTTCTTTCTTTTCTTTTCTTTTCCTTCCTTCCTTCCTTCTTTCTTTCTTTCTCTTTCTTTCTTTCTCTCTCTCTCTCTCTTCTTGCAGTCTTTCTTTTTCTTTTTTTAATGTGGTGATGGGGATATATTCAGAGCATTAGACATACTAAGGAGCTATATCCTCAACTCTTCATGAACATTTTTAAAGTCCTAAAAACAATTTTTAAATATATTTTTAATCTTATTCTTGGTCTTCTCTTGCTTGATGTGACAGAGCTACAGCCACACTCCTAACAAAGAAAACCGAGGCATTTGAACAAATCCCCAGATTCCAGTCCCCCCACTTAGCCCCCTCCATGGAAAAGGGGTTCCCAGGACTTGGCCGGCTGACTCTGATCTTCCCCCTCTTAGTAGTTTCTTTGGAGGGGACCGACAAGGGGAGCAGAAGCTGCCAGAAGGAAGGAGGGAGTCAGAGAGCCCCTATCAGCGAAGAGAGAAGAGGGAGCTTTTCCTTTGGGGGTGAATTTGTCTACTCCACTTCCCGAGCCCTTTGGGATCATTTTCACTCTGGAGGGGCTGCTCCTTCTGGGTCCTCGAGGGTGGGAGTCCCCCACGTACCGGTGAGCCCCTTCCCGGCCTGTTGCCCGCCCCACCATGGCCCATCGTGATCTCTTTGCTTCTCCTCCAGGACTGAGCCTCCAGAGTCTGCAAAGCCACCCCTAAGATCCCTTTTTTAACCAATCCCAGCATATCTCTTTCATCTTTCTAAGCCTCAATTATCCTGTATTTTAGCAAAGGGAACTCATAACATCCCTGAAGCCAAGGTTTAGACCGGAAAGGGGAGGATTGGCTGAAGATGTGGGGAAGGGATTAGACCCCAGATCCATATTTTTCCTGCCTGGGGTAAAGCAGTCCCTACCACCAGGGACCTTGAGAGCAAGTGCTGAGAATCGCCTCCCCCAGGCTGTCCCCAGGCTTGTCCCCAGTCGTCCCCAGCGGGGTGTGCACTCTCAGCCCTGTTTTTCCCCGGCTCCTTGCTCAGGCACAGAGCCTGAGAATCCACAGCCAGCTGCTGGTTTCCTCACCGAGTCCTCGGACAGCCCAGCCACCACTAAGGACCGGCTTTCTTTTAAATCATGCATGCAGGCTACGCCAGCAAATGGGCCCAGCATGGCACAGAAGCAGGGTGGGTGTGCAGCGAGCGAGGGGCTTCCTGTCTCCTCCCTCCTCTCCTCTTGCTTGGTCCGGGCCATCACTTCTCGCCTGGGCAGGGAGAGGGTGCCAGAGGGACACAAGGAGTTTTTCTTCCCACCACGGGTGTGCCTAGCTCCAGCTCTGCTGATGCTCCCTTCCCGGGCGACTCCATTCTACCTAGGCGTCCACCCCCAGCTTCCTCTGGTGACTCCTATGGCCAAGCAGTCCCCTGTTCCTACTAGAGTCTCCTTGACCAGTTTCCCGGAGTCCCAAGCCTCAAAGCTCTGAAGATCTACCTCCCAAAATGACCCAGAGAACTAGGGACGTCCAGCAAGCACAAATACGCGAAATTTTTGGTGAATGATGCAAATGACTTTGTGATTCACATTGCAAACGTACAGACCTGGGCTGAGAGCGAAAAGAGAAACTCCTGTCTCTCCTTCCCTCCCCGATGAATCTCTCCCCCCAGACTACCAGTGTAAGCATTATTCTCACTGAATTAAACTCTTCAAACTCATCTCAGAAAAAAAGATTTGTTTTCAAATTTATTTTCGTTTTCATTTTTTAAATGAAGTATCAAGCCAACGACCTGATTTTTGCTATTCTCATTCCCTGGGAAAAACTCTACATTTTCATTGTTATAAAAATCGAGTAGATCGGACCTTAATGGGCAGAAATGTTGTATTTTATTTTAGATATTTCCAGTTGTCCATAAAAAACTCATTACCTATATATTAAACACTACTAAAATAATAACACCCCTATTTTTTTTTCTTGGACCGGGGATCGAACTCGGTAATATCCCTATTTTAATCTATCTTTTATGTGATATATGCTAAAGAAAAGAATTCAAAAGTTACAGGGGACATACATTAAAAAGGAAAATAGATCTTGCTGTCATCTCTTACCTTAATTTTCCTCCCAGGAAGAATTACAGTTCCCAATGCGTCTTCACGGAAGTGTGTAGAAAGATAGTCTTTTAGCACAAATGGTAAACAGGAGTATACAATTCAATATACAAAGCTTTACATCTCGACTTTTATTTTAAAATGTGTTTAAAACTTAATGCCCTCTTTTTAATGGCTCCATGTTACCGTAGGTATGTACCTTAATGTATTGAATTAGGATGGAGTGGTTGAGATGGAGAGATCCTTAGAATGTTTCCAGTTTTCTTTTCCTCATTTTTCCACTAGTGCACGTTCGGTGTATGTGCACTTACGTCTTAGAGATGAGCAGTATCAAAGGACTTGTGCGTTTTTATTTTTCGTTGAGGTTGAGCCCACAGTGTTTTCATAATGTTAAAAGCACTTTGTCCTTTTTTAGGGAACTGTCTGTTCACGTCCTCGTATTTTCTATTCTTTTTCATTGATCCAATTTACCACTAAATTGCTTTTATATTTTGCTGAAATGTGAGATTATAGTTGGGCCAATAAAGGTTGTATTTGTGAGTGAGGTAAAATCCCTCCATCTATCCCCT